CCTTTGCAAGTCATCCATGTTGTTACTTAGGCATTTTATCTTTGCTCAAATTGTTGAAGAATGGTGGCTTGTTTCATGGTTTTTGTATTTGTGTCTAATGCACGTTTTAACATGATAGATGCAATGCATTGTGTAGCTAGTTTTCTGGAAAATTCAATCTTTTAGGAATTGTTTTTCAGATCTTCAATAAATTTTTTCTTTAAATTTCAAAAAAAAAAACATATGCATAATTTGAAGTCATTTGCACATATATCATGTGCATTTTTATAAAATAAATAAATCATCATTTTAATTGACGTGTTATGCTTAATTATGTCACTAATCCTTTAATCAACTTTTCACTGGTATTTTTTATATTGATACTTTTTTTTCAGCTTTTATAATCACTAACAATAAATTGCTAAATACATAGATCTTCATGAATTTGTTGAAGTACTTTCATCAAACAAATTCTTGTAAAGGAAATTGCTAGCTCAAAGGATGCTTAATTTTAAGGCTTTTGGCTGATATTGTCAAATTGCTCTCTGGAAATTTTATGCCAATTTACACTGTGTTTCCTCTTTCCGTACAGTGTCATCTGGTTATTAATATTTCTTAACATCTTTGCCAGTTGGAAAGGGTAAAATGATATTATTATTATGTTAATTTGTATGTTATAGATTACTAATGAGATTGAAATATTTTGCATATCAAAGGCCATTTATAGTTCCTATTTTGAGAGTTATCCATTCATATCTTGTAACTATACTTTTACTGATTTATCCTATTTGTCTATATTAATTCTGTCATATATATATAGTGCATATTTTCCCATTCGATGTTTGTTTACTAATTATTATAATAAACATTAAAATTTTTGATTTCATCAAATTTGTCATGCTTTTTATTTGCAACTTCTGAACTTAACTCTCTTCTTGGAAAAGCTTTTCTTATTCCAAGCCTAGCAAATATTCAGCAATATTTTATTCAAGTACTTTTTTTCTTTCTATTTTTTTTTGTTTTTTTTTTTTCTTTTTATCTCCTACATACTAGAGTTAACAGTGGATTATTCAAGCATTTTTAAGGTTTCATTTGTTACCTTAAGACCTGATCAATCTTGAATTTATTTTGATATAGAGTATAAGAAAAAGTAATTGTGTTGTGGCTTGCATTTGCTCTAACTTATTGATAAATCCATCTTTTCCCTCACTGATCTGGAATGGTGATATTATTATATGTTACACATACATGAATCTCCTGAGGATCTTAGGTGTGAAGAGGTTAGAGGCAGAGATGCCAGCAAGGTCCAGGTGCAAGCTAATGATAAAGGTGCTAGTAGGAATGAAAAGAAAAAGGATTAGTGCAAGAAATCTTGCGTCACTGCATAGATGAATAATAGAGAAATCTTGTTTCCTCTTTGAAACATGAGGTAATAAGGAGAAATATTTTTTGAACTAGATAACTGGGGAAAACTGTCAGGTACAAAAATGAAAGCAGGAGGAGTTGGCTGTGAAGTAGAAGATGATGATCAATTTAATCATTAAGATTTTCAGTTTGTGGTCTCAGTAGTGTATCTGTGTTGTGAAAAGAGAGAGAGAGAGAGAGAGAGAGAGAGAGAGAGAGAGAGAGAGAGATTGAAAACAGGGAGCAGATTAAGCCTAGATTCAGTTCACTTTTGTTACATATCTACTGTAACTATTTTATTTATTGTAATAGGCAACACTGCATTTTCCTGGGTGGTTCATCAACACTTGAGAGATTTTACTCTTTCTCAAAAACAGTAAAGCAATAGCCAGCACTCCATGGAATCCCAGAATGGCACATCATCTTCTTCCCAGCCCTCTTCTCTCTCTTCCTACCCAGTCTTGGATCCTCACATTTCAGGCTCCTCATCACCCTCCTCCTAGAGTTAGAGAGGCATTGGAATTCTCATCCTAGCAGCTCTGATGGGGGAAGGTAGAGAGAACTGGAAGGGAAAAAAGATAGGGGAAGAGGCTTCTGTAGAACCTTAACTCTTGTGCTATTTTCCCTCAGCTTCTGCCAGGCTTATTGCTAGTCCGAGATGAGACCAAGGAAAAGGTCTCTTACCCTTCCCCCGTCCCCACAGAACACCCTGGCCTGCCTCCCATAACTTATCTCTAATGTTTTTTCAGAGGCTGGGTGAAAGCAACAGCAGCTCAGAGCAGCCACAGACATGGGGGTCAAATGCTGCCTTTTGTAACTGCAGCAGTAAGAAGAAAAAACGTTTCTAGTGCCCACTATGGAAACATGTGAGCTGTAGTGGTTTAGTGCCAAAGAAATGTCTGTAAACATTTATTATGAGCTAGGAAGACAACTTTGTGTCCAGGGGACAGTGCCATGTTCCAAATCATTGACTTGCAAACAGACAGTGGGGCTAGAACTCTTGTAAGTTGAACATGGGCTGCCCTAATTTCTTCCAGTCATGGATAAAGAAAATCCATTATTGGAGACGTATGCAACTTCCATATTTTGTCATATAGATAGATATAAAAATATTTTCCAGGCAAGGATTTCCCAAACACTTCAAATCAAACACTCTGAAAGTTAATCATGGCAAAGTCTGGTTATTAAAAATAAAAGCTTTTTACTTTTATAATGCTTAAAATATATTTTAGCATACCCTAGACTACTTTGTCTGTTTGGCAGCTGTTTGAGGTACAATTTTCCTCATTTTCCAGATGAAAAAGCTGAGGCTAGATGGGTCAAGCCACTTTACTGATACCACAGGTCAGAGCATACCAAGGACTCCAGCTCAGACTGTGAATTTCCCAATCTACTCCTCTTTCTGCTACATCACCACTGCTTCCAGAGGCTTTGAGGATGTGCTTTTTGAGACCATACTTTATTTTTGGTAAGCAAAATCTTTACTTCCAAGAACATGCATTTTTTTCAGGCTCAGCATGATTTATTCTGCTTACTTGGATTGCAGGTGTCTACTAATGTGCTCTATTATACACGTCTAAAATGTGTACTTACAGGCATCATCAGCAGTCAGTTACAGGTTTAACGAAGTGCTAACACCGACACAGCCTTCTTTTGATAAACTTAACAATTTAATATATAGGAAAATATGAATAAGTAAGGAGATAAAAGCTTAACAGATTGTTTTTTTAACACCTAATTAAGTAAAGCACAGCAGAGAACTGTATTCTTATATTAAAGCTGATAGAGTTGCTATTTTGGGCCTGTGAACACTTGAGAACCATCTGTGATTTGTGATAACTATAAGAAGAAAAGGTAGTCCAAAATTTTAAGAAGATATTTCACCCTTTCTTCATAAAATGACTACTCTCCAATACAAGCAACATTAATTCGTATTTCCTTTCAATTTGCTCCCTTATTATAATTAACATTAATGTAAACTCTGCATTTGAAAGATGTCTAAGAAAAGCTAGTAGTTACTTTTGCCAAAGCACTATTTATGATAGCTTTAACATGAAATATGACATAAGGATTAAAAAGGTTAAAGGTGGCTCTTTCTAAAGAGGAAAGACAATAAAAATGAAATAACAAGCTTTTAGGAGAAACCAAGAGAAGGACCTCAGAGCTCTCTCTACTCTTGCCCAAATGTGAGAAAGCTGTAGTCACGTAGCATCCCCAGCTGAGGGGGAGCCGGAGGTGGGCAGGAGAGTGGCAGGCTGGAGCGTGGCGGGCTCATTGACTGTTCTTCTCCTCACACCACATCCAACATGGCTGGCAAACAAGGCCGCCTATCAATGAGGAGCAGAAGCTGCAGGTTCATAGGTGTCCAGGTGCCTGAGTGGCCAACACACCCAAGCAAAGAAAGTATGCTTGTGTTTTTATGGACTTCAGCTTAAATTTTTTTATTAAATATTTTAGTTTATTTTACTGCTATCTTCCAGGTGTCTAAATCTCCAGTCTGTCTGTTGTACTAGTAATTTAACTCTGTAATGGAATAGTTTGCTGCCAACTATTTATATTAAATAATTTTTAAATATTTGTGATATTGTTGACTAATAAACTATTAAGTTATTGGCCAGAAAAAGAAAAAAAAAAGGCAGCAAGCTTGTGGAAATAAAACTTTTTTCTTTTGTAGGCCACAGAATAAGACCTTCTGGAAACTGGTCTCTATTAGGATAGTTAAGTTTCTGCAAAGACCTAAGAGATACTCACTTAGTTTTTAAAAATTAAAAATGACCTTTTCTTTTCTCTAATTTTTCCTGTCTTACCAGACAAGGAAATTCTAGTTATTTATAAAATTCTTATATTTTCAGAGCAAGCTGGCTTAGAAGAGTAGGCTAAATCTGTCACTTTCCTAGGAGTCTAAACTCCCCCAGTCCTGACATTAGTGGCCTCTTTATCTCTGGTGGAGGCACCACTTAGTTGCAGAGGGAGCCACTTTTGAGCACTGAATTAACACTTCTATTTATTAATTTTTTTTTTGTTGAAAGTGATTTATTTTAAAGAGAGACAGAAACACAAGAAGGAGAGAGAAAGAAACAACTAACTCTCACACTGAGTGAGAGAATCTAGAAAGATGGAATCCAGGAGAGGAAAGCAGCTTCCACACTGAATGGAAGGGAATAGAGAAACAGATGGAGTTTAGGAGGGGAAGACAGGCTTCCACGAGAGAGTGTGGAAGGGGACTCCGGAGGGAAAATCCAGGATAGAGAAAGACGGCTTCCACAAAGGAGTGTTCGTGGAAGGGGACCCAAACATGGAGTCCCGAATTAACACCTTTCTATTCAACCTTGTTCATCAAAGAATGCTAGAACTATACATCCAGGGCAGAGTTGAAAATTTTGGGGTGCAGATTTGAAAATTTAAAATGCTTAAATTTCTGAAATACTAATACATCAAATAATATGAAAGAGAATGGAAAAGAATAATATTTGCCTACTCATGGCTCCTTATTTTGATTGGAATAATAAAAAAATCCTTTTTGCATGTTTCCAAGCATGACAGATCAGTAGAGTATAAAATGAAGAGAAATAAGATGAAATCTATACGAGTCGAAAAATTCAGTATTTTATGTGCAAATAAGTATTTCAGATACATATCAGATTTGTTAATGAAAAGTCTAAGTGGTGAATGCTGAAAAATAACATTCAGTTTTAGGATTACCATAAGGAAGATAAATACGCGGTTTGCACATGAGAATAGTTTATTTTCACTTTCAATAAAATGTTACGCTTTTAAATTCTGATAAATCTTTCACTATTTTGGTAACATTTACAAATTCAGAAGCTATTTACTTTGGGCTGAGGAATTAGTGTAATTATTATATGTACTGACTGAAACAGCCTCACTTTATAAGAAAACAAATGTGTATGATTATATTTGTCTCTCTTGTGGCTTACATATTATCATATTAATACTACACATGTATATAGTACTCTATTTTTTAATGAAAATAATTAATTTGAGAATTCCTCACTTGAGACTTTTCTTACTTTATATGGCCAGAGTCACGGAGATAAATTTATAAGGCTGAATCTCAATGGGAAAAGAAAATGGGAATTCTTAGCTCAAAAATTAGCTGAGTCTGACCTTTTCTAATACCTATTTGCTTTTCAAGTTTTTGGGAAATTTAGTAAAATATAGATTTATATCCTTCGCAATCCATGAATACAATATTCTCAATTTTCTGCTTTGTTTTACAGAGTAATTAAGGAAGCACGTTGAGCAAAGTGTACAAATTCAACAGCTGGGAAGCTATTATGGAGAGGTCTTGTGACATTTTCTTCAGGTTTCTTTGAAAAGAACTGAAAACTGATGAAATTTTTAGACCAAATATCTCTTTTAAAACATGAATAGAATTCGTTTGCTGATAGGCATGTATTTAAACATGTGATATCTAGTGAGTGGTTATTTTTTGCCCTCCAAATTAAACCAACATGGGGAGTTTGAGAAATAAGTTTAAGAAATAGACATAGCTTTTGATTGAAAGCACAATTTTCCATCTAGATATTGATCCATGCTCATCTTTATCTCAGTTAGCAGCAACCTTGTTCTGCAGCATTGGTCCCTTGATGGTTATAGTCTGTCAATAGCTCCAGCTCGTGCCATCTTCCCAATGTACCAACTTCCTAAATGCATCTCTTTCCCTGGTCAGTTTGCATTGTTGCCTTTGTATGTCTCCCCACCTCATGGATGTTAGTTTCACAGTTTTGCGGTCATAACCCCACTAGCTTCCTTTTTTCTGTCACTTCCACATCGCAGGACTATTGCTGGGCACTATGTCCACCCAGCCATGGGAATTAGGAATAAACACAAAAGAGTCCAATTCAGTTCAGCAAACAGTTATGATGCATCTCTTTTATGCCAGGAACTGCTGTAGGGGCTGGGGTACAAAGTGAAGAAGATAATTTGCCTGGTCTCAAGGGGGAGCTCATGTCTAATGCCCAGGCTCTTATAATCCCTCAGCATTATCCTTTCCACTTTGCCTGTTCCCCTGTTGCTCATTACCTACCTGTGAAACCTCTCCTCTCTCTCTGGCTCGATTCTTGCCTTTCTTCTCTCTGTTCCTTTTTCCTGCTAGTGTCCTCCTTTTTCACCATAGCTAACGCTCCATTTTCAAGTGCTTAGCGAAACAACTTATACCTCAACTTTCCGGAAAGGCTTTCTGCCAAATAAGAGGAGTTGTAAATATTTAACTCTTTTTATTTTTCTAAATAATCTGATTATAAGCAACAATAAAATGGAGATCCCATATTATTATCTGCAGAGTTAATGTCGGAACAACAGGGACCTCTTAGTTTTTGATTAATTTAAAACTTACTTGTAATTAATTAGTAGTATATTTTATGAACCATTAAAAATTACTTAATAGTAATCACTTTTGAAAATAGGAGGAACATAAAAATTTTTATGGCAGATTTGTTTGCATTAACAATTATTTTGAAAGAAGTATTAGAATTGAGCTTGGAAAAACCACAGAATGCTCATATTTTTGCCTAAACAAAAGAAATTAGAGATTTTTCTTTCACCTATCCCCCAAAACAGCAAGAATTTATATAGCCTTATTTCCAAGAAATTGGAATGTCGGATCTGTGAAAACAAAAATAAAGAACGTGGAAGCTGTTGCAAAACTAAAGTATTTCTCTAGATCATTCAAATTAATTAAGGCAATAATTTTATTTCTTAGAAACATTCACATATACCCAGGCCTGATTACCTCCCCAAACTCTCCCTCTTTACATTCCTTTTTCTCCTTACTAAACCCTCACCCCCTCCCAAAAAACTCACTGTGGCTCCACTTTCCAGAGACTAGAAAAATTGAACTGACTGTTGAAAAAATGACTGTTTTTAACATCTCTAAAAGTTTCCTAAACCTTCTCTTCATCTCTTTTAATTAAGCTTTCTTTTCTAAACAAACTCCACATCTAATTGCATCACAGGTTTTTTTTTGTTCTTTTCTCCCCCTACTATTGCTGCAATACTATATTTTCTATTGTTTATTTAAAGCATACAGTATTTCAACTACCTTTGGATTAAATAACGTTTTTGTGAGTGGGTCTTGAAACTTAATCACCGTCTGTAGCAAAGTGTTATGAAGAAATATATTCTAAGACTAATCAATGACTCTTTACAATACAATACAGTACATTTTTCACATTGTAAACTGAAAAGTCTTTCTAATAACAGATTTTTATATGTAGGTTTTGTACCTAGTTTTGTTAAATTATAGTTTCACCCAGAATGTTGCTTTTCAGGATCTTTTTGAATTTAGAGCTTATATTACTATTTAATTGGTAGTAAACCATTTCTTCTTCAGCATATGAAGGACAGAGTTATTGACATTCTAGCTTGTAAGTCAATTTTGATAGTTCATGATAACTGGATTCAATATTACTATGTTAAATAAGTGGCCCAGTACTTTGGTCATTAAAATTCCCAAATTGGATTACTTCCCAAATTGCTTCCTGATTGGACTACTAAATCTAAACTTAATTAGAGAGAGTATACTTGTCAATATATCAAACTTTCAATATGCTGTATTCCGTTAACTCACTCGCTACAACTCTTTGTCCTCTAACATTTTTTTTAGGGCATCCTTTACTTCTGTGTTTCTCAGGCTGTATATCAGAGGGTTAAGCATGGGAATTACAAGACTATAAAACACAGAGACTACTTTGTTTTGCTTCCATGAATTCCCCACTTTTGGTTGCCACAGATACATGAAAAACAATGTCCCATAAAAGATGGTGACCACAGTGAGGTGGGAAGCACAGGTGGAAAATGCTTTGCACTTGCCCTTGGAAGACTGGATTTTTATAATGGAAAAGAGGATGCAAATGTAGGAGATGAAGATGGTCAGGAGGGACCCAGAGAGATTCACTGCAGAAAGGATCACGAGCTGCTTTTCTTTGTTGTAAGTGTCAGAGCAGGAGAGGGCCAGGAGAGGGGGGTCAGCACAGTAGAAGTGGTGGATGACGTTGGAGTCGCAGAAGGACAGCTGGAACGTCAGAGCTGTCTGTATCACAGAGTTTAGGAAGCCGTAGGTATAGACCCCTATCACCAACTCCCTGCAGACCCGCTGCGTCATAATGGCTGTGTAAATGAGGGGGTAGCAGATGGCCATGTAGCGGTCATAGGCCATTGTGGCCAAGAGGAAGCATTCTGTAGTGGCAAAAGCACCGGAGAAGTACAGCTGAGCAAAACAGCCTGAAAAGGAGATGGTTTTTTTCTTCACCAATAAATTTTGCAGTATCTTGGGCGCAATGGAAGATGAGTAACAAAGATCAATGAATGCCAGGTGACTGAGGAAGTAGTACATGGGGGTGTGGAGCCGTGAGTCTGCTTTGATGAGCAGGATTATGCCAAGGTTTCCCACCAGGGTGATGAGATAAATGACCAGGAACACCACAAAGAGAGGGAGCTGCAGCTCAGGACGGTCTGTAAATCCCATGAGGACAAATTCGGTCACTGTGGTACGATTGCCTTTTGCCATGTTCTTTTGCCTGCTGCAAAAATAAGAAATGATTAGATATTTAAAAATAAACTCTTCTTACCTCTTTGTTGCATTACCATAGGAAAAAAGTGTGGCTTTGCATTTCCAATAGTTAAAGGTTGTCATTAGCTTTATTCTGCTGAAACAGACTTGATAAGACTGAACTAATTTCTTTTTGGAGCCAGAATGATTTTCCTAGGACAGAACTCATTTTTATATTAACAGTGTTAGTGTTTTCAATTCAATTCAACAGACACTTCTGGGCTTTGTGTGGGGCCAGGTAGCATGCTTGGTGCTGGGCTGGAGATGGGTATGACAATGACATTGTCTTTGTTCTTATGGAGTCTAGTGAAGGGTTCGAAAAGCATTTCATAAGGGGAAGTCAGTCAAGTATTTTTGGAGCTGTACAGAATGCTGTAGGAGTCCCCAGGAGGGAGAGATTGAACGTGGATGGTGGAAATGGAAAAGCTTCATTCATTCATTCATTCTTGTTCACTTATCAAACACATATTGCCCATCTTCAATGTGTCAGATGCTATGCTAAATGAAGGTGATACACAGATGAATAAAACACATGCCTGCCTTCAATGAGCTCACAGGCTGGCAGGAGAAACATACATGTAAGTAACTAGTTAGAATTCACTATGGGTAATGCTCTGAAAGAGAGGAATCCCCTAACTCAACCTGCCTGCTGTGAAGGCAGTGTGTGGGGTGGAGGATTAGTAGTCTTAGGCGACCCTTAATTGTCCTAAATTTTAGGCTGGATATTTAAAATTATAAATGCAATATATACACTTGGTGAAATTATCAGTACAGAGGGATATAAATGAAAAAACAGTTTCTCTCTTCTACCTCCAATATAATTACTTAATGGTATCCAATGTTAACAGTTCCTTTAGTATTCTTCTTAAAATGCTTAAGTATAAACAATCAATACACACAAAACACACACACACATACTTTTCTACATAAATGAAGTCATACAGTTTAGCACCTTGTTTCTTTTTACACTTAAGAAGTATTTCCATGATAAGAACACATGGACACGTAGAGGGGAACAACACACATTGGGGCTTATTGGAGAATGGAGGGTAGGAGGAGGAAGAGGATCAGGAAAAATAGCTAATGAATACTAGGCTTAATACCTGGGTAGAAAGCACCTGTTATACAGAAATAATCTGTACAACAAATCCCCATGATACACATTTACCTATGTTACAAACCTGCACATCATGTACATGTACCCTGAACTTAAAAGTTAAAAAAGAATTATTTCCAAAGCAGTTCATATAAATCCATGACATTTTCATAACTGTATCATAATTTATTAATAAGTTCTCTCAGTGGATATTTAAATGTTCACAATTTTTGTTCTTTTTTTTCTATCTCAAATAAAGTTTGTACGAATATTCTTAAGCATATATATGGACTAAAGATAAACCACTAGGCCTGGCACAGTGGCTCACATCTGTTATCCCAGCACTTTGGGAGGCTTAGGCGGGTGGATCACGAGGTCAGGAGACTGAGACCATCCTGGCCAACCTGGTGAAACCCTGTCTCTACTAAAAAATAGAAATACAAAAAATAAAAATTAAATTAAAAAAATACAAAAATTAGCTGGGTGCGGTGGTGCGTGCTTGTAATCCCTGCTACTAGGAAGGCTGAGACACAAGAATCACTTGAACTCAAAGGCAGAGGTTGCAGTGAGCTGAGATTGCACCACTGCACTCCAGCCAGGAGATAGCGCTAGACTACCTCTCAAAGAAAAAAAAAAAAGATAAACCTCTAGAAATGAAGTTGGGGTCAAAATGTATATGTTCATTTTACTTTTTTTCTTTTTATTTAAACCAAAACTTTCTTTTCTTTTTTTTTTTTTTTTTTTTTAAATGTTCTGGGTATATACCCAAAGGACTATAAATCATTGTATTATAAAGATATATGCACACGCATATTTATTGTGGCACAATTTACAAATAGCAAGGACCTGGAACCAACCCAAATGCCCACCAATGATAGACTAAACAAAGAAAATGTGACACATATATACCATGGAATACTATGCAGCCATAAAAAACAATGAGTGCGTGTACTTTGTAGGGACATGGATGAACCTAGAAACCATCATTTTACTTTTTTGATGGTGATTGACAAATTGACCTCTAAGTAAATTTCACCAAGTCACACTCACTTCTAACAATATTGTGCAAGAATACTGTTTTTCCCACACTTTCATCCAAAGTTTTATCAAGTTTTAAACCTTTGCCACTGTGATAGTGAATATTGGCAACTCCTATAGTTTTAATTTGTGTGTTTTTGTGAGTAGGGTTTAGCATTTTTCAAACAATTATTAGCATGTATATTTTTCCCCTACAGACTGTCAGTTCAATTCCTTTGATAATTTTTCTATTAGGTTGATTGATTTTCTAGAACATTTTATTTCTAGGAGGTCTTTGTTTATTAAAGAAACCAGCTCTTTTTTTTTTCCATTTATTTATTTTATTGCATTTTAGGTTTTGGGGTACATGTGAAGAACATGCAAGATTGTTCTTGGTACACACGTGGCAGTGTGATTTGCTGCCTTCCTCCCCATCACCTACATCTGGCTTCTCTCCCTTTGCTATCACTCCCCAACTCCCCACCCCCCACTGTCCCTCCCCTATTTCCCCCCAACTGACCACAATGTGTAGTGCTCCCCTCCCTGTGTCCGTGTGTTCTCATTGTTCAACACCCACCTATGAGTGAGAACATGTGGTGTTTGATCTTCTGCTCTTGTGTTAGTTTGCTGAGAATGATGGTTTCCAGGTTATCCATGTCCCTACAAAGGACACAAACTCATCGTTTTTGATGGCTGCATAATATTCCATGGTGTATATGTGCCACATTTTCCCTGTCCAGTCTATCATCAATGGGCATATGGGTTGGTTCCAGGTCTTTGCTACTGTAAATGGTGCTGCAATGAACATTCGTGTGCACGTGTCCTTATAGTAGAACGATTTGTAATCCTTTGGATATATACCCAGTAATGGGATTGCTGGGTCAAATGGAATTTCTATTTCTAGGTCCTTGAGGAATCGCCACACTGTCTTCCACAAAGGTTGAACTAATTTACACTCCCACCAACAGTGTAAAAGCGTTCCTATTTCTTCACATCCTCTCCAGCATCTGTTGTCTCTAGTTAATGATCGCCATTCTAACTGGCGTGAGATGGTATCTCAATGTAGTTTTGATTTGCATTTCTCTAATGACCAGTGATGATGAGCATTTTTTCATATGTTTGTTGGCCTCATGTATGTCTTCTTTTTTTTTTTTTTTTTGAGACGGAGTTTCACTCTTGTTACCCACGCTGGAGTGCAATGGCACGATCTCGGCTTACCGCAACCTCCACTGGGATTACAGGCACTTGCCACCATGCCCAGCTAATGTTTTGTATTTTTAGTAGAGACGGGGTTTCACCATGTTGACCAGGATGGTCTCGATCTCTTTACGTCGTGATCCACCCGCCTTGGCATCCCAAAGTGCTGGGATTACAGGCTTGAGCCACTGCATCTGGCATGTATGTCTTCTTTTGTAAAGTATCTGTTCATATCCTTTGCCCACTTTTGAATGGGCTTTTTTTTTTCTTGTAAATCTGTTTCAGTTCTTTGTAAATTCTGGATATCAGCCCTTTGTCAGATGGGTAAACTACAAAAATTTTTTCCCATTCTGTTGGTTGCCGAATCACTCTAATGACTGTTTCTTTTGCTGTGCAGAAGCTGTGGAGTTTGATTTGTCTATTTTGGCTTTTGTTGTCAATGCTTTTGGTGTTTTGGTCATGAAGTCCTTGCCTACGCCTATGATCTGAATGGTTTTGCCTAGATTTTCTTCTAGGGTTTTTATGGTGTCAGGTCTTATATTTAAGTCTTTAATCCATCTGGAGTTAATTTTAGTGTAAGGTGTCAGGAAGGGGTCCAGTTTCTGCTTTCTGCACATGGCTAGCCAGTTTTCCCAACACCATTTATTAAACAGGGAATCCTTTCCCCATTGCTTGTTTTTGTCTGGTTTGTCAAAGATCAGATGATTGTAGATATGTTGTGTTGCCTCCGAGACCTCTGTTCTGTTCCATTGGTCTATATCTCTGTTTTGGTACCAACACCATGCTGTTTTGATTACTGTAGCCTTGTAGTATAGTTTGAAGTCCGGTAGTGTGATGCCTCCTGCTTTGTTCTTTTTGCTTAGAATTGACTTGGCTATATGGGCTCTCTTTTGGTTCCATATGAAGTTTAAGGTGTTTTTTTTCCAGTTCTGTGAAGAAGGTCATTAGTAGCTTGATGGGGATAGCGTTGAATCTGTAAATTACTTTGGGCAGTCTGGCCATTTTCACGATATTGATTCTCCCTAATCACGAACATGGAATGTTTCTCCATCTGTTTGTGTCCTCTCTTATTTCATTGAGCAGTGGCTTGTAGTTCTCCTTGAAGAGGTCCTTTATGTTCCTTGTTAGTTGTATTCCTAGGTATTTTATTATCTTTGTGGCAATTGTGAATGGCAGTTCATTCTTGATTTGGCTCTCTTTAAGTCTGTTATTGGTGTATAGGAATGAGTGTGATTTTTGCACATTGATTTTGTATCCTGAGACTTTGCTGAAGTTGCTTATCAGTTTCAGGAGATTTGGGGCTGAGACGATGGGGTCTTCTAGATATACAATCATGTCGTCTGCAAATAGAGACAATTTGACTTCCTCCTTTCCTATTTGAATGCCCTTTATTTCTTTTCCTTGCCTGATTGCTCTGGCTAGAACTTCCAGTACTATATTGAATAGGAGTGGTGAGAGAGGGCATCCTTGTCTAGTGCCAGATTTCAAGGGGAATGCTTCCAGTTTTTGCCCATTCAGTATGATATTGGCTGTTGGTTTGTCATAAATAGCTTTTATTATTTTGAGATACGTTCTACCAATACCTAGCTTATTGAGGGTTTTTAGCATAAAGGGCTGTTGAATTTTGTCAAAGGCCTTCTCTGCATCAATTGAGATAATCA